AGAATAAATTATTTAAGTTTAGAAGACAATGTTCCTGCTTGAAATCATTCAGTGTTTAATGATATTGAGATTTATATGGCAGGAACAAGACTTCGAGTACGATATAAAACATTACAGCTACTGAAAGAAAGAGGAGGCTGGGGTTTACCATCACAGAAACATTTTTATATCTCAGCACAGATGAGAGCATCAGCTCTCGGGGTTCAGAGAGCAGTGATAAAAGAACATACATTGAAAGAAGATATTAAAATCCGGAGTTGGTGTGCATATGATTCAGATCTCACACTAAATAAACTCAATGATAGATTCAAAGTTTGGATAAAGAAAGGTATAATATCTCTATGCAGCATTATACAGAAAGATTTCAATTCAATTAAATTTTATTTGTATAGCACCAATTCATAACAGAAGTTATCTCAGGACACTTTTCAAATAGAGCAGGTCTAGACCAAACTCTTTGTAACATTATTTAGAGACCCAACAGTACCACCATGAGCAAGACCTTGGAGACAAGGGCAAGGAAAAACTGCCTGTTAAAAGGCAGAAACCTAGGACAGATCCTTCAGCTCTAGGTGGGTGGTCGTCTGTCTCGACCAGTTGGGGTGAGAGGGAGAGAGAGAGAGACACAGTATTGGCAATGGCAATCTAGCAGGACCATGGCAGGAGGCTCCACCAGGATCGATAAGAACCTGCAAGACGGGAAAGCACAAGAACTCCGGGGAAGAAGTGAAGTTAGTAACATGCATTAATGGGACATGAATGAGTGCAGGAAGATGAAAAAGATGAAACTATGTGTTTTCAAACATTAAGAGATCATTTTTCATTGGAAAAACAGGATTTCTAAAAATATCTCCAATTAATAAATTACTATAATCAAAAAGAAAAATACCAGAGAAGCCAGTAAAGCCTTTATGCAACTTCTCATAAATGCTATAAGTCAGATATTAAAAGAGGGGTCATCTCTCAACTATATAAGAGCCTCCACAATCTAAAAGCTCATTCAACAAAATATATAATGGATGGGAGAAGGAAGGAGACCTGACTATAACAGACAAAGAATGGCAAGATTTGTGTATTTCAATGGAAGAGTACAAAATCTCATGCTTGGAAAGAATTGATGGTTGAAGAAGAAAACACACTTTAGCATTAAGATACTCAGTGTGGATCAGTATAATATCAGCCTTATGTCTGCACTTTACTGTCAGCACAACTTTCACATCATATTAATCTCAGCACGGAAGGAAAAAATGGTGTCTGACCTCAGAGTCTCCAGTCTACAGTGTGGACTCTCCAGAAAACCACACAGCAGCTTCACTCCTGAATCCTGCAGTTCGTTGTGACTCAGCCTCAGCTCTCTCAGATGGGCGGGGTTGGACTTCAGAGCTGAGACCAGATAATCACAGCTGATCTCTGACAAACTGCAACGACTCAATCTAAATAAAGAATAAATGAAGATCAAAACAAATTTTTAGATGTGTCCTAATCAATGAGTTTTTCTCTAAAATTAGTAGAGTGACTTTATCATTGTGGTATTAGAGACTTAGACTTAGACTTAGACTTCACTTTATTGATCCCTTTGGGATGACTCCCTCAAGGAAATTGAATTTCCAGCAGCTTACAAACACTTACATACAAGAAAATACAATATAAGATAAACAATAAACTCTAAGCTAAATATAGAAAGTAGAGATAAGAATAAAAATAAAATAGAATTCAAGTAAAAAATAAAATAAAATAAAATAAATGTAGAGAACTGTATAGAGGATAAATATAGATAAATATATATAGGACTGTATATGGCATTGTGTTATTGTACAGCGGATAATTTACATTAGCAGAAATTAGCAGTTAAATTAAATTATTGCACTTAAGTGGTGGAATAAGTTATTGCACAAAAAAGAAGAAGAGTGTCCAGGTATGTCTACCTGGTGGTGTCCTTCAGCCTGACGTACTGTGGATCATCATAATGTCATCCTTCTACAGACATCATCCAAATGTCAGCACAACTTTCATACACCTATTCATGTCAACACTGATCAATAACATGCTGCTGATTTCAGTCAGGTCTGTAATAACGATTAAATCTGACATTTTGTTACTTTAATTTTGTTTCTTCTAATTCATAAAAATCATGTGTCATTGTGTAAAAAATACTAAGATGTGATGTTTTGATTTGGCCAATATCAAATAAATAAGACTATAAGAAAAAAATAACAATTCCAGTAAATAGAAAATGTTACACCCTTTTTAACAGCTAACACATTTGTATCTTGTTTGCCAATTGCCTGAAGCCACAGATCTTTTCTGTGTCTGTTTGTTATGGAGTGGGATCAGGGATTTAAATTACCTCTCAAATGTTAGAAAATGCACACTGACTGTAATCTGTGTCTGTGAAAACATTTGGCTACTGTGCCATTGATGATAAATTATGATTAATTAATTGCTTATTAGGTAATTGTGTGATCAGATGGCGTCATCCATTAATTCATAGTAGGCCTATAATGAGTTGCTGTGACATTTATTCTGTGGTTATTGATAATAAGCTACTTTGTGTTGAAATGTTACAGTAGGCTGGCTAAAACTATTTCAGTTGTTTGACAGTCGGAGACAGCCGGCTGTGGTGGTTTGAGCTGTTCGATTTGCGTTGATAGATTTGGCACTTGGTCTGCTGTCTGTGGTTCTGATCACAGGCTGCAGGTTTGCAATAGTGTGGAGTTGGTGTGTGTCTATATGTGTACATGTTTATACTTTTTGGGGCAGGAGGATGTGTTACGTTGCTTCAAAAACTATGAATGCTGATTAAATTTTTCAACATATTATAGAATTAATCCTCCAGTTTTCTTACCAACATGAATCCAGTACAGAGTAAATTCTGAGTCAAACTGTAGATATACACTGTACAAAAGCAAAATACATGAACTGACCTCAGAGTCTCCAGTCTACAGTTTTTACTCTCCAGTCCAGCACACAACAGCTTCACTCCTGAATCCCGCAGCTTGTTGAAACTCAGGTCCAGATCTCTCAGATGGGAGGGGTTGGACTTCAGTGCTGAGGCCACGACTTCACATTGAGTCTCTGAGAGTCTACATGAAGAAAGTCTGTGATGACAGAATATGAATTTAAGTATAATAAAATCTGACATTTTATTATAAAAATAGACTTTTGTGCATTTTGCATCACAAAGCACATTAACATGAGCAGCTGTAGCTCAGCTGGTCAGTCATTGATCACAAGGTCTGTGGTTTGAAACTTGAGCTCCTCCTGTCCACAAGTGCTGTGATTTGTGTTTGTTAAACTTTATTTTAACATGATGTTCAATGAGCTGTATAATCACTATAGGTTGTAACTGCACTCATATTTATTTATCTCAGTCATGTGCTTCTTGTGTGTATTTTGTGCAACTTTTATTCATCTAGGGTTGCAGCTGTATATCAATACCATATTATACTGTGTTATGAAATCATACTATGTACATTTGCTTCTCAGCGGTATTTTATTCTGTTGTATTTGTTGATCACAGGCTGCAGGTTTGCAATAGTGTGGAGTTGGTGTGTGTCTATATGTGTACATGTTTATACTTTTTGGGGCAGGGGATGGGGGGCACAGGAACAATATTTGCACCGGGCCGATCACAAATATGTTACGTTGCTTCAAAGACTATGAATGCTGATTAAATTTTGCAGCATATTGTAGAATGAATCCTCCAGTTTTCTTACCAACATGAATCCAGTACAGAGTAAATTAGGAGTCAAACTGTTGATATACACTGTACAAAAGCAAAATACATGAACTGACCTCAGAGTCTCCAGTCTACAGTTTTTACTCTCCAGTCCAGCACACAACAGCTTCACTCCTGAATCCCGCAGCTTGTTGAAACTCAGGTCCAGATCTCTCAGATGGGAGGGGTTGGACTTCAGAGCTGAGGCCACGACTTCACATTGAGTCTCTGAGAGTCTACATGAAGAAAGTCTGTGATGACAGAATGTGAATTTAAGTATAATAAAATCTGACATTTTATTATAAAGATATACTTTTGTGCATTTTGCATCACAAAGCACATTAACATGAGCGGCTGTAGCTCAGCTGGTCAGTCATTGATCACAAGGTCTGTGGTTTGAAACTTGAGCTCCTCCTGTCCACAAGTGCTGTGATTTGTGTTTGTTAAACTTTATTTTAACATGATGTTCAATGAGCTGTATAATCACTACAGGTTGTAACTGCACTCATATTTATTTATCTCAGTCATGTGCTTCTTGTGTGTATTTTGTGCAACTTTTATTCATCTAGGGTTGCAGCTGTATATCAATACCATGTTATACTGTGTTATGAAATCATACTATGTACATTTGCTTCTCAGCGGTATTTTATTCTGTTGTATTTGTGTTATTAAAAATATATAGTACTTTTTTAATTAAATTATAATAAAGCATTCAACAAAAAACAAACAAACAAAAATAACTCATCCTTCTGTTTTTATTACTGTAACTGATAATTAATAACTGTGTAATACTGCATACCCTTAAACTGTGATATTTTCTGAGATGGTTATTGTACCGTGAAAATCTCACTAATGCAGCCCCAGATGCATCTTATTATGTTGCTCCAGCTGCTTTTCATCTCCCATTAAATTAATTTAATGACTCCTATTGCATTAATAGTATAATAAACCTTTTTCACAGGAGCCATTTTGATATGAAACAGGAGGGTAAACACAGGTGTTACCAATGACACTAATTAAGGTTCTGTTACATTCAGGTCAAACACAGTCAGGGTGCTGCTACTGTGCATCATGGCTCACTGGAAAGGCTCTGCTACACTAAATGAACCTTCATTAGTTAAGAAGCTCTCTCCTTTTCCCTCTCTCTCTCTCTCTGGTGGTATTTGAATGGACTCATGTGAAAAGACGTTCTTTGTTAAGAACTAAACAATATAATCTTTACTCTAATACTGATGGCTTCAACTTTATATTGATTTATAATGTTAATCACATCTGGACTTACTGAGCCTTTCTGCAGTTCCTCACAGCTGGAATCAGTCTCAGTCGTCCCTGGTCTGATGTGTTGTACTTCTGCAGGTCAAACTCATCCAGAACCTCCTCTGACATCTGCAGCATGTAGGCCAGAGCTGAGCAGTGGATCACAGAAAGTTTTGTCTCTGATCTGTTCTCTGACTTCAGGAACTCTTGGATCTCCTGATGGACTGAGTGGTCGTTCATCTCCATCAGACAGTGGAAGATGTTAATGCTTCTGTCAGGAGAGATATCATCACTGTTCATCTTCTTCAGGTTGTTGATGGCTCTCTGGATGATTTTTGGACTGTTGTCTGTCTGACCCAGCAGGCCTCCTAAGAGTCTCTGATTGGACTCCAGAGAGAGGCCATGAAGGAAGCGAACAAACAGGTCCAGGTGGCCATTTTTACTTTTAAGGGATTTCTCCATGGCTCTCCTCAGAAAGACATCCAGGGTTGAATTCACATGTTTTTGACCCAGGAAGTCCTCCAGTACTTTGGTGTTATTGTTGGTGTAACAGTGGAACATGTAGACTGCAGCCAGGAACTCCTGAATGCTCAGATGAACGAAGCAGTAGACTGTTTTCTGGAAGATCACACTCTCTCTTTTGAAGATCTCTGTACAAACTCCTGAGTACACCGAGGCCTCTGTGACATCAAGACCACACTCCTCCAGGTCTTCTTGGTAGAACATGATGTTTCCTTTCTCCAGCTGTTCAAACGCCAGCCTCCCCAGCTTCAGAAGAACTTCCCTGTCAGCCTCCTTCAGCTCCTGTGGGCTCTTCTTATGTCCCTCATCATACTTCTGCTTTTTCCTCTTTGTCTGAACCAGCAGGAACTGTGAGTACATGTCAGTCAGGGTCTTGGGCAGCTCTCCTCTCTGGTCTGTAGTCAACATGTGGTCCAGAACTGTAGCAGTGATCCAGCAGAAGACTGGGATTAGACACATGATGTGGAGGCTCCTGGAGGTCTTGATGTGTGAGATGATTCTGCTGGACAGATCTTCATCACTGACTCTCCTCCTGAAGTACTCCTCCTTCTGGGCGTCAGTGAAGCCTCGTACTTCTGTTACCCTGTCGACACATTCAGGAGGGATCTGATTGGCTGCTGCAGGTCTGGAAGTTATCCAGACGAGAGCCAAGGGAAGCAGATTCCCCTTGATGAGGTTTGTCAACAGCACGTTGACTGAAGACTTCTGTGTGACGTCAGACACAACCTCATTGTTGTGGAAATCCAGTGAAAGTCTGCTTTCAACAAGGCCGTCAAAGATGAACAAAGGTTTACAGACAGCGAGCTGCTCTGCTGTGACCTTCTGTAATGTTGGATGGAAAACATGGAGCAGTGTGAGAAGACTGTACTGCTCATCTTTGATCAGGTACAGCTCCCTGAACGAAAGCAGAACCACCAGACTGACATCTTGGTTTTCCAAGCCCTCTGCCCAATCCAGAGTGAACTTCTGTACTGAGAAGGTTTTTCCAACGCCAGCGACACCGTTCGTCAGAACCACTCTGATGTGTCTCTGTTGGTCAGGTAAGGCTTTAAAGATCTCGTGGCACTTGATTGGAGTGTCATGGAGGGTCACCATCTTGGAAGCTTTCTCCACCTGCCTCACCTCATGTTGGGTATTAACCTCTTCACTCTGTCCCTCTGTGATGTAGAGCTCAGTGTAGATCTTGTTGAGGATGGTTCCACTTCCTGTTTCATCAGTTCCTTCAGTCACATGTTTACATCTCGTCTTTAGACTAATCTTATGTTCATCTAAAACCTCCTGCAGACCACCACTCACTAAAAAAGATAAAACAAGACAAAACTAAAAATCTAACAGTCTGTGCTGAGGTAATTGAATGTATCTCTTTCATTGTGGGTTTGTTTTTGTGTCTGATTTACGTATACTTTGTGTTTCTATGTCTGTGTTGTCGTTCAATTTGTGTCCAACAATGAAACTGCTGATCATTTTCATTACAGATACAACAATTAATATAAGAATATATAGAAATGCAAAGCTTCTAATGTCCACTTTTGGAGAGTTTTTTCTGTCAGCCTCTGACTGTGTGTAAGTGTACGTGTTTAATTGACAGGCTGAGCCTCAGCAGGTCTTCATCTGAACATCTTTCATCTGTAGCTGTTTCATCCTCCCGTAATATTTAAAATTGATCCACGATCAAATAATACAGAAAATGTTCATGTCATGAAGACCTGTTTTAAAAAAAAAAGACATTCAAGTCACTGGTACTTGGCCACCATGCTGCCAATGGTATAGGTTCATCCTACATTCAGCCTGAAAACTCTAAAACTAAATGTAGCACTTTAGATGTTCAGCTTATTTGATGAAGTTGATGAAGTTACATGATTCATGCAATATTTGAGTTGAACTTATTGTAAGTCTCTTAATAAACTAAATGTAGCAGATTAGATTTTTAACATGTACAGTCTTACTTTGTACAGTGCTGGTCTGACTGGCTGTCTGCAGTCCAGCTCTTGTTCTGGATCTTTCTCCACACTGGGGACAGGAGGAGTCTCCTGATGAAGCAGACTGGTCCCAGTATGAGGTGATGCACTGTCTGCAGAACCAGTGTCCACAGCTGGTAGAGACTGGATCCTTCAGGACGTCCTGACACGAAACAGAGCAGGACAGCTGCTCCTCCACAGAAACATGACTCCTCTTCCTCTCTCTGTGAAGACATTTCTTTATTACTAAAATGATTTGTTGATTGTTGATGAAAAATACTGAGATTTGTCGGACACTGTCTGGAAGCTCAGATGGTCACAGAGAACATTAAAAGTGTTGTTAACTTTTCTGTTTGAATTCAGCATTCAGTCTGTAATGAAAATGATTCCTTTTATTTCAACTCTCCTGCTTTCATAAACACTGAGTGCTTTTCCTATCTGTCTGTCTTATTAAACATTTATTGATCTGCCTGTAGTTTTTTGCAGCTGCTTCACAATAAAGGTCCAGGTTCATTACTGAAGTATGGAGGATCATATTTGGACAGATCACTCTTCATAGACAGACAGCTGGACACTGGAGACTCTGCTCTCTGTCTGTTGTACTGAACTCTACAAACAACAAGATGGTTTTATTCACATGAATCCTTTGTCCTTTAATCTTTCCCATTTAGGAAGCTGTAAATAAACAAACTGCTGCTACTGGTGATAAGTAGGAGGTAAAAGTTTGTATTAGTCCTCTTAGATTAGATTGACTGACAGCTACAGATGCTAAGTTGGAAGGAAAGATTTCTCTTTTTTAGTGTCACAAAAAGTTTTTGTTAGCAAATACAGTTTGGTATAAAATGTAAAATACAAACATTAAATCAACAGAGAAAAACAGGTAACTGAATATAAGTTAAATTAATGAGTTAGTGTCGGTTCTCTTACTTTGTGTCTGAGGGTCCAGGTTCATTACTGAAGAATGGAGGATCATGTTTGGACTGATCACTCTTCATAGACAGACAGCTGGACACTGGAGACTCTGCTCTGTCCTCCTCTTCCTCCACACAAACACTCATCTTCTGCACTTCAGTCAGTCTAAGAAGTAAAATATTAACAGACTGAGCTCAGAGCACAAGAAACAGTAAACAGGGAAACAGGTTTGTTCAAGAGAAAACAGGAGGTAACACACACACACACACACACACACACACACACACACACACACACACACACACACAGTACTCTGTATAGTATATAGAGTATACAGTATAATATAGAACTCCACCTGGTCACTTTCTTTAACCCTGTACTTGTTTTCTTGGGTTACAGTAGCTTTAATCTGTATTATTCAGTCAATCACAACTTTGTATCCACAGATGAATCAAACTGTTGAGTTCATTCTAACATTTCTGTCCTCTACAGTCCACAGGAAGAAAACTGACTCAGAGACTTTGACAGTAAAATAATAATAATGTTGTATTAACACTCACCCTGCCTCAGCCTTCAGTTTCCCTCCTTCTGCTCTGTCGACTCAAAATGGAGACTGAACCAACTGAACACTTTCACCTTCAGGGTTTCCTCCCTGGTGTTATGTAAGCTACCTGGTTAGCTCCTCCCCTCTCTATTTACAGGAACTCAGGTGAGTTTATCTCTCTCTCTCTCTCTCTCTCTCTCTCTCTCTCTCTCTCTCTCTCTCTCTGTGTGTGTGTGTGTGTGTGTGTGTGTGTGTGGTGCTCACACAGATAAACTGTTCAACATGATGTGTTCATGAGCGTCTCTCTTGGCTTGAAAAGACAACGAAAAGGAGTTTTGATCAAAATGTTGGTACTTAAATTATGTTTAAATGATTTAAATAAATGTTGTGTTTAAGTTACAACTAAAGTGCTGTAAACTAAATTAAATAAATGTTTTATTTTACAGACTTACAGACAGGAAGCCCCCCATTTCTAATCAGTTAACATTTTTTGGGGATGATATAGAGAAATATTGATATATTTTATTATAGACTTCAAGGGGTGGAAGAAATGCTGATTTAAGTGCTAATGTAAGTAGTGTCTTGTGGGCTGGGCATCCCGGTGCATATAACACACAAGATCAAATTTGTTCATTAATTAGAATACATATTACTGTGTGTAGTTAAGTCTTAATATCAGAGCGTTATTTTACTGTATACTTCCCTAATGATATCTGAGAATCTTGCTCAAAAATATTATGTAATTTTCTTCTGATTAAAATAAAAGTAAAGTGTTAATTTGTCAACAGGCAAGAACTCAGTTCTACATATACAGAAAATATCGTTATTTTTTTTAATAATAAATTAATAATTAATGATTATTTATTTGGGTTTATATTATGTTTTTGTCTATTCCCAATACTTACTTTTTTCTAACAATTACAATTAATACCAAATCTATCCAAAGTATTTAACTACAGACTAAAATTCAGAACAACTACAACTATACTACAACACCTGAACGCACCACAAGAAGATCAGCTATAACAAAGCAGGCTGCAGGAAATACTGTTCATGTGTACTAATAAACCATTTCTGTGAACAGTAAATATGTGTGTGCAGGCAGCCTTTCACACTGTTGTTCAATCAAACCTCAACATTACTGGGCAGCTGGTGGAGCTACA